AGGCTTAGCATATAAACAGCGTTGGATTCTTTGCCATAATTGGGCATTACAGATAAGAAGCATATCTGGTGCTGCAGCTGGGCCTGTGAGGCTGCCATCCCATCAGCACCTACGCACTGGGAAACGGCCGGGAGTGACATGCATGGCTGATGACAAGAGCCTCAGTGTGACCGTGAGCTGTGGGACAACGGCAGATCTCAAACAATGACACATCCAGTGGCGGTCAGAGGGGTGCAAACCGAAGAGCGGCACATCCACTCGCTAATAGCAATTTCTGTTTTCAAGACTATTATTTTAGCAGCATTCCTGATTGTGCCGGGGAAGCCCGGTGGCGACAGTTGTCATATCTGCCAGAGAAATCGAGGGTTGTCAGCCTGAAATAATAAGCCTGCCCATGTCTACCTGTCTGAAATCAAGGACCCACTGTTTCAATAATGACTGAGAATTTCAAGTGGGAAGTCTGCCTCTGCGCTGTGCATAAAGAGAAAGCCTGAGAGACGTAATGAAGGGCGTCGAGATTTAGCAAGCAGTGAACTAATTCTCTTATCGGGTTTTCTCTTCACTGACTGAACATTTTGTTGGATTTCAAAATGAACATATCAGCATTGACCTACAAAATCACAATGAGTCAAACTCTAATGTTAAAAAATGCATTTCTATCTCTCCCTGGATGATTGAAGCTGATCTTATTTGTGTAGACTGTTCATTTAGGCAGGTCACTCATGGAGCTCCAGCAGGTGAGGCACAGGTGAGGCGGTATTTGCTATCTAATGGAGTACTTAAAGTCCAAACGCTGCTTCATAAGCTTGTTAACAAGCTTAAAACCCCCTCATCTGATTACCCAGAGACGATGGTGTCCCCGGCAAAGCGGCTGCACTGATAACCTTCATGTTGCCTATTCCTTTGTCGAATGAGCCACTGATAAAGCTTCACTCTTGTTTTCTCATTGCGAGTCCAGCAACCATCCATCACACCACCATAAAATAGGAATTCTCCCACTTCTTTATGTCCTTCAGATCTAATTGGACCTTGCTTTAGCTCCCGTGGCTCGCCATTGGTCGGCAATAAACAACAAAGGGAATGGGCAATTACTTCATATCACTGCCGGACATGGTAATGGTTATTGGTGCAGCGAGTCCTCCTCTTGCCATTGCTGTCCCCAGTGGCCATAGAACACAATTTGTGGTCTGTGCACGATTTAAAAAGGGGGCAGTGACCTAGGATATGAGGATATGATTAAGGATCCCATTAAATTGATCCCTTGTTATGTTTTAAAGTGAAATTACACAGAAGGAGACTTGTGCCTGTGGTAATTGTTTGTGAATGCTGGACATAAATTCTCTGACACTGAATGTAGCATCTGCATCATAAAATGCAGCATCTTCATCCTGATATATTCCTCCACAAGCTTCTGTTGTCTTGTACACATGTTGACTGGAAGGCAGGAGATGGTGTCAGGTCTCCACCTGTGACAGATAGTGTCCCAGCTACATGGACTTATAAAGTTTTGTGTGTCAGAACAAATATCTCTTTTTCCTCCAGTCTGCTAACTTAGGTTTACCGATTGCAAACTGTCCTTCCGAGCTGCTTAAGCTGCTTGCAGACTTGCACTGAACTTCAGGGATCGAGTGAGAGCCTCCCGACTTTCTGCAGATGTTCTCGCCTGGCCTCCCCGAGAAAGTCGGTAGAAGTTCAGAAAAGCCGATGCGAGACAAGAGCAGGAGATCCCCTGCAGGATTCAGGTGGTGACGACGTTTCAAACATATGATAGATGTAAAAATTACAAAAACAAAACCAATACAAATATCTACAGATGAAAAAGCGGTGACATACGCATAGAAGACACCTGAAGATGTCAAGAGAGTTTTTGGTGATAAGAGCCGGCACCGGCACAAAATAAGATCTCTGCAGCAATATTAATGTTACTTCCTGCCTCTATCTGCTGCACCACCCCTCACCTGAATTCTGGAGAGGATGTGTTGTTGTGAACCTGTCTGAACGGAGAACCTCCTGCTGCCTGTTCATGTGTAAAAGGAAAACTCCTGAGAAAACCAAACCCAATTTTACAGACATCCTCCGGAGGTTATTTCTGAAAACAGCTTATGATAGAAATGAAGCCGTAGGTAAAAAATGCTCTTCAGAACTTTCGGCCTCATGTGGCAAATGTCTCTTGGTCACCTGGCTGCTCTATAGAACAATTATCATATAGCTTTGTGAAAAGGTGAAAGACTTGAAATGGGGGCTGTACCACTCTTATAGATCAGCCACTTATAGCGCTTCCAGCACATTAAATTAACCTTTAGTTATTACATATCAAATAATTATCTGCAGCCTCTCTGAAGCCTCAAAGAGATGCATGCCTTCCACTCAGGGGATAACTGCAAATAGGAGTTACACTTTAGCCAACAAAATTCCACAAATGCATGATTTAAAGTGCGGCCACTGAAACATTGCATGAGACAAAGTGATGGAACTCAAAGACATTCCATCTCTCACAAGTACATGTTAATAACTTTCTTTTTACTTTCATTCCTATATGAATTCTGCACAAACGCTCACTGTGTTTCTGTCCCACAGCAGAACCACTGTAAGGGGTTGACTGACTCTATTGGATTGTCTCTATATAAAGCAAAGTGACTGAAAGGATGAATTGTGCTTTTTGAGAGGAAATGCCTGCTGGGTGGATGCCAGATGCAAAGCATAACTCAAAGTGACAGAGTGACCCTCAAATAGCTGCTGAAGTTCGGACATAATATCGAGAGCACGGGCGATAAAATAAAAATCTGCAGTCGCACTATTTTTGGTCCATGAAGCTGTGAAACGTCCTTTACCACTGACGTCTGGGAATAGAGTCAAACGGACTGTCGATCCACTTTTTTCTCACATTACATTCAGTTACTATAGCTTCAACTGGAATTTATTTCCTGTTTTAGTTCAATGTTTAAGTTGCATAAGCTGTTTAGGGTGTGGGTGTTAAACTGTGGTACAATGTGTATCAAGAACTGTGAAGAAATGACCTCCTCCTGCACTGCCCCATCCCTCACACTCCAGCTTCATCCTGAGCTAGTGAAGCCTGCAATTTACACCAAATGACAAAGTCACTATTTCCCCAGAGAGAACGGTGAGCTAGTAAATAAAAACCAACTTTACTGATAGATTAAAAATCAATCAGCAACACTTTGCAAAGTGGCAACATTTCACCACGGAGCACAATGGAGCAGCAAAGCTGAGTCCTTATTATTTGGCTGGAGAAGAAGACGTTATGGCTTTAACTGCTGGGGGGGAAAGGGTTGGCCATTGGGAAGTGAAATGCCAGTGGGTGACGAGTTGGACTCCATTATGATGTGTTTGTGCTGTAATGTAGTAAAGCTTTCCTCTGGTGTTCTCATACAACACCGCTGACATTGTCTTGCAGCTTGTCACCAAAGCAGCCGGTCACAACAGTATGAGAAAATGATGCCACTTAGCCTCAACATCCTGTCAGCGCTGCACAGTCCACAAACTACAACCAATTTAAAAATACCTCTTTGACCAAAACAATGACCTCAGCAGGAGTAAGAGAGAGTTTATCCATTTTCTCTTCTGTCCGCTATTGGTGTCTTATGTTGCATAAGCTGATTATTACTCAAATAATTTTTTTTAGATTTTATATTATTACATGGAAAAACAATGTTTTTTGCCCTTTAATAATAAAAGACAGAAATGAAGTAGTAGTAGATCACAGTGGTTCTTGCTTAAGACCTGTTTTAAAATCATTTTATCATCACAGACAAGACTGAGAAATAATTATTTAGTTGATTTACCGAAATGTAAAATAATCATCATCATTAATGGTCTCTGTAATTTTTCAAACAAAGAAGCTTTACCATTTTGACATCCTCTTGGGCTTTTATTTCCAATTTATGCGATGGCAATCTTTCTGACTGGAACAGATTTATTGATAATTGAATAATATTATGTTGCACGCACCCCTAAATGTCTTTCATTCAAACAATGGCTTAAATCCTTGTGACTCACCACTGATATGAAGGTTGTATTGTGTAAACAGTAAATATAATTGTCATGCATGGTAGCATGATGCTTGATGTGATATGCACAATTCTTAGGGACGTAAAATGTTTGTTTACATCACTGAAATCTTTAAACATTGATTGAATGAATGTCTTTATTTGCCTAATAGTGAATTATAAACATTTCATCACTGCATCCACTTCAGTGTTTTCCTACATCTGTGTGAGTGAATGCCAAACAAACCCCGGATTGCATCTTTAACAGTAGGATTTGTGTGGATTTCCCCCAGGAGAATACGACTGCGCAGGAAGACAGAGTCATTCTGGATGTAACTTGATTTTAAAGATTGCTGCTCTGCTGAGGAGACCAAAAAAAAATCTGCCTCACAGACTAATGGCCATGTAATGAAATACAAGTCTGTCATTCCGTTATGGAGCCATTACATTAGGCTCTCCTTCAAAACTCAGACAGCTTGTTAAATCTGATATGTTTCAGGAGCAGTGCCTTCAAAGAAATGACAGGAACGGACGAGGAGAGAGAGACAGGCTCTGTGGGATCCTATGCAGAACTCACAGGCATCAATACTTAAAGCTTAAAGTTTATGTGAAGTTTACAACAAGTCAATTATGGGTTAAGGGTGTCACAGTCTGATAGGCTGTTAAAGTAACAGCACAGTAAAGTCTATCAATACAAAGGGTCGAGGCACACATAGCAAGTATTGCACTGTAATACCCTGCTTCATTAGATCCTTAACAAGCCAGGTTAGAGATACAGAGGCACAGTGCTCCATGTACAAAGTGAAGCTGAGTTCAAAACACATACACGCTCATAGAAAACGATTCATATAGTACAGGTCTATGGGAAACTGACCTGCCTGAATCAGGGCACCTTTTGGATTTCTTATGCCTTCACAAAGTATTCTGTAAGAGTTTACAAAATCATTCACTTCATTACCAGCAGGTTCTAGTTTGTTTCCAGTCGTATCCTACCGTTTAACTGGTTGTAGACCACATCCTCCAGCCTCTCCAGCCTCTGCAGAATAGACTGCCTGTCCACCAAGTTGGAAACTTTGCCATTCCTGGCTCGCAGCCTCTGGTCAGAGATGCGCCCCAGCTGGATGAGCTCCTCGGATCGGTCCTGGATCCTGCAGTACACCGAGAACAGGATAATCCCCACGAACACCAAGATGTTGACGGTCAGCAAAGTTTTGATTTTGCGTGCCACAGCCATGAAAGAGAATCGGCGGGTCGCGGCTGACTCAGTCAAGCCCGGCAGCTGTCCGTGTGCGGGGTGGCCTGCTTTCTGGCACCTCGCTGCGTGATGGTGCAGGAGGATGATTTCCCTGCTTCGGTGGAAGGGAAGGTCAACTCGCGGAGACCCGGTGCAGGTGGCGGGACGCGTTCAGCACCGCGGACAGCTCAGGAGGAGGCTGCGCTCCCGCATCACACTCCGGAGCAGGAAAGTTCAAGGTGGGGAAGGTTGCTGGCGGCACAATGCGCTCCGCTGACGCGTCTGCTGGGGCTTCACTGGCCGAGAAACAGCTGCGCACTCTCCGCCGTCCCTCCAGCTACATGTTACGAGCGAGACACGACGCCACGGGAGGCATGCATCCTCTTTGAACAGCCTATGGCAGTTGCACAAACATCTCCCCCCCCTCCGCAACGTGATAAGTCGCCAGATCCTATCAGCCCCAGAATGCCTCGTCCATCTTACGGGAGACACACTGCAACAACCGAAGCATCCTGCTGCTATCACTGCTCTACTGTGGCATCCCTTTTCTCGGAGGCGTTGTGGTCACTCGATCCGTGCATGGCGCTCTTGCACATATGATCCAGAGGAGCGTATGTCCAGAAAATATGTGCATGCTCCAAAAACAAGGCGGCGTTTCTCTCCCTCTGTCTCTCTCCGTTTGCGCTCCGTCAGTCCATGGTCGCTGCCCTGGTCAGTGGCGCAGAGGAGCAGGACGAGTTGCCGAGAGCAGATTTGCCCTCAGACGCTGTCAGACGATGCCGATGCTCGGTGTTGCTGGGAAAGATGTGGCCGGGCTCTGGCATGCTGTCTCTCCTCCTCCTCCTCCTCCTCCTCCTCCTCCTCCTCCTCCTCCTCCTCCCCGGCCCCTGTGCGCGCTCTGCAAGGGAGGAAGAGCCGCCGCTGCGTCCTGACGTTCAGAGGCACAACCATGAATATTCAGGAGCCGTATTTGGGCTCGCTTGGATAAAATAAACAGTGCAGACTGTGCAAGGCAGCAAATATTTCTCCCAGAGCAGCCGTCTCCCCGTATCAGTCAGTGAACTGTGAAAAATGTGAGTGAAGATGTGTTCACACATGTGACTTTGTTGCTATCTGAACCGTAACGCATAGAGGTTATCAGTTTCCACCTCACCTCTGAGGCCACTGCCAGGGGCAACTTAAGGCTTAAGTGCTTAAGAATCCATGTTGCACATTGTAGCCTTTTTAATGTGCACAGTTATGTAACAGCCCTCTGCATATATACACTTGTGGTCAACCTCAGCACGAGAATCATCATTTCAACAATCACATGCTTGGCCAGAGTTTCAACTTCATCAGATATGAGCTACATAAATTATAAATAACCCATTCTAATCAAACCAACTGGGAAAAGAGGAAGAATGCATTTACATGAACTAGTGCAGTGCCCCGGAATGTATGTTTGCTTGTCCTGTGTTAATGCTCTAGAGATAAAGTTATTCCTTTTCATTAGTGAGTCCTCCTCTAACATTTCTACAGTATACTGTCACTTTTTATCGTTTGTGTGCTGGATGTTGTGTGCAGAGCATTTTATCAACAGTCTATGGCGCAGAGTGAAGTTAAAAAACGTTGTGTTCGTCCTACATGACATGACAATTTATGTTTTTCATAAAATAAAACTAAATTTACTTTGTTACCATTCACATGTGTGGTTTATATTGAATTATTTATTGAACTGCTGTTGTTTCTTCATACATTGCATGTCAGCTGTTTCAAATGTCTGTTAGGCAATCCATGCACTCTTCACATTCAAGTTCACACCTTTTCAAAATAAAAGCTCTGTTATTCCATTCAGTAAGCATTACAGCATCTAAGGAATGTTGCTTTTACTTTGAAGACTGAATGATATGGTGTTGATTCTGGCCCAAGGTTTGACCCAGTTGCTGACCACTGCTGTAGTTTGACCTGGCCCACCCCCACTGACTGTTAAAGAGCACTAGTCACCTGTTTATTCAGTTTTTATTAACATTGAACATATCACGTGTCCAATGCCTGCGTTCCATATGGTTGGTCCACTTGCGTTTCAAACAGACTGACAGTCAGAGAGAGACATTTGTGGAATTAGTAGATAGTTACATATTCACAACAGATCTACTTCTATCACCAAAATATCCACCTCACACTGCAACCCACACTGTTTACTGACCTCCTGCAAAGCTCAATGCAAAACCCCGCCAGCTAAAAACCATGATCTTTAAGGGCATGGCTAGTGTAGACCAAAGGATTGTAGCCATCAGCTACGTGTTCAAACCACTTGCTCAAATACTTCAAACTCCCCTCTGCTCCTTATCTCCAAATCCAAATGAATTATGACTCAAATAAATCACGTACAAGGAGATTCAGTCACAGTGTGTACTTTCACTTGATTAAGCAAACCCAGACATGGCACAGGCTGCCCAAAGCACTTTGATCCCACTTCACACCCACCAGAGCATCTCAGATTTATACCCCTCAGTTTGTTTGCCATTTCACTATAGACAGATGGCGGCCGCTAACTGTAAAAGAAAAAAAAAAAACAAATTAATTCGATTAATTGACAGTAGCGTTCTCTGTCAAAGGACATCTGGTGTTAGAATGTGGTCTTCTAAGTTTTCTCATAACTGTTGGTGGTTTGCTTCTTCAAAAAAACAATTGTGGTTTTCCGAAGAGCAGATTGAAGAGCTTTTACGTTTAATCCTCTTGGAGATCAGTTTCAGAGTTGGAGAAGAGTGGTGCACTGCAGTGTTGGGCGTTCTCTTCAAAGAGCGGGGGCCTCATCAGTTCTATCAAGACACAAACAAAGCGTGCACAAGAGCACTGGGAGGTTCAGTGGTCCGTATTTTCCACAGTCCAACCCAAAACTTGGCCGACTGTGGATTTATGTTCCAAACCATTAGCACTCAGTACTCATTACTAATACTTTATATATTATAAGTTGACGTTCCTACAATTTTACAAAAGAACTCAATCGCCATTACTACTACATGATGTATACACTCAGTAGTCTTTAAAGCATAGTTACACAAATATTAAGTAGTTATTAAAACATAACTACACAAATACTTGGTAATTGTTACTAATTTATGACACAAATACTCAATAGTCACTATTTTATTACAGACTAGGCTATTCAGTGTCATAACTACATGAGTGCTTAGTAGTCATCGGGTGGACTGACCCCACCATGGAACTTGTGACTGTATCTTAAATGTTTGTGTCACTATTGTTGTATTCCTCCCACAGACTGACTTTTAAACACCTTAACTCAGAACTAGCTTTGTGGTTCTTCCTCCCACACTAGGTGTCTCCAAGACCACATTTTGCTATGATAACAAACGGACCCAGAGACTCACGAGGTGAAAACAATACCAGCCCTGCTGTCACAGCTGGTTATTACATGAAATCATACACACAACAACAGCGATCATTCTCCTCTCTGTGTTGTGATGATAGACTGCATTTCCTGTTATCGCCCCTTTGTGTTTTAATGATAGTAGGCCATGTGCTTCCCCTCCAGCCCTGCAGCTCCTGTGGTTCTCAGCTCTGTATGACAAGTACATTTCAAGCATTTGGCTTTGTATGCAGTTTTTAATTAGGGTTCCCACTGCACGAGTCCCATTATAAAATGTGCTGATTTGATTCAAGCTCTGCAGAAACAGACAGACTGTGGGGAAATCACAGCCACCTCAGCCACCATGCAAACCTCAGCACACCTGCTAACAGTATCACAGCCCCATACACTCCTCTGTTGGACTCTGTGCAAGACTCTCTGAAGACTTCGGTGCTGTTTTCTGCATTCAGCACCCTGCGTGCCTCTGTGATGGCAGACACTGGCACTAAAGTGTTTTAACCATATTAACTTGGGTCACAGCCAGCTGCACCTTAGTCAACCCACTCTGTGTTTCTACAGAAGTCACTTGAACATATTCAGTGGGAGGGTGCAGGCTGGATGAAACTGTGCATCTAGCACTGCTGCAAGACGACCAAATATATCTATAGCCATGTACTCATCAGATCTGCGTTCAAAGGAATTATAAAGCAGGAGCTCCGACAGTATCTCAGCTGTAAAAAAGTAGAGCAAATTATGTATGAGAATCAATCTGCTATGTGTTTATCACAAATATCAATGTGATGACTGTTGACCTGTGACTATAAGTCCAAAAAATAAGCCTTTTAAATAACTTAACATTGATTTTCTTTTATTAAAAGGGAGAGATTAAGACATGTAGTAAGTTATCTATCCAAATTATCTTTGTTATGGCACGTCCATTGGATAGAGAGCAACATTATGAGCCACATTTTAGGAGACCTGATAACTGTGAGTGCGACATTCTCTCTTCTTCTATAATTAGTTGATCAGGTTGATGAGAAAAATAGGTCTGAAAAAAACAAACAGTAAAGGTGCAGGTCACCAAAACAAAGACTAGAAAGATGCTAAGCGCTGAAAAACTGCGGATGATTGTCTGTGGACTCATAGATTGTATGTAAAGATGGACGACATGACTGCTCCCCAAAAGTGAAGCAAAAGCATCTTGATCGTCATCTGGTTTCTGGCTGAAATACAAGTCATAAATCCAGCCTCCTCCATGTTAGTGGATGGGACATGGACAGAACTTAAAAGTCAGAGTTCACATAAAATAACATTTTCAAGATGGTTTCTTTCATTTTCAGAAGTTCTTATAAAACTGATGTGTGCTGATTTTTCTGATGTGTTTGGTTATTTGTTGCAATGAAAATCGGGTAAAACATTATGACTGATTATTGGTAGAGTGCCTGTATTAGCAGGACTTCACAATTGTGGTTCCATCCCTGATCCCTACTGTGAACACTTTGGATCCAAATGAGCAAGATGGCAGCGCTGGTATCCAAAATATTTGGCTTCATTCGTTGGGAGGAAGTGGAGACATGTTGTCCATCAATACATACAGTCCAAAATGGGTTCATCAATAGGACTAACACCTTTCAAGCCATCTGATCTGATGTTAGCATAACCTACATGGATTAGCGCAGCTTTAAATTGTTAGCATGTAAACAGACCGATGCAGTAAATACAGGTAGGTAAGAGCCTAAAGAGGTCTTGTCTGCTAAGAGGATGGAAACCACTGTAAAACACATTGTAGTAAGTGCTTTGTTGGGCACCATTTACTTTGCTACACTCCAGTGATTTTAGTGCACTGGGTATTCTCATCATTGGAAGCTGCTCTCACTGGCCGGTCGACGTGGCTGAACAGAGGGGATATGTTCTGACAAGATGTTATTAAGCAAGGACAGCCAGAAGTCAGCAGATCACACACATCTCCTAAACCACAGGAATACATTTAGCAGCAGACTAAGAGATCAAAATAAACTTTTGTCAGCTTTTCTGTCTCTGAAACATTTCATCCAGGTTTCAACAAGCCACATGGAATCTCTCTCTTTAAATCTCAGAGAATATGAAATGTATTCTTGGGTGTTTGTTGGTTGAATATAATGAAAACCAAGATATTGTGATTTTGTGTTAACAGTAGCTTGTTTTCAGTTAGATGCAAACTAAAATTAAAAAGCACTGAATACTCTTTTTTAAATGTGGTATTCAAGAAGAAAATCATTAAAGCATGTCTTGACTGGGCTGCAACTTTCATTAAAAATACAAAAGCTTGTTTGTATCCCGAGAGAAAAAAATCTGTCCTTCATTTGTGTTCACAGTGGCTAATATGCATATAATATGCGTTTTAGCAAAAGCACAAATGATCTAAATGCCACAAGCTACATAAAGGACAGTGTGTCCGTTTTGATAATATGGAGAG